GGGCCTAGGGCATGAGCTTGTCTTTGGTCAGTGCTGTAGGAGACTGTGCCCGGGTGGTGGGTGCCCTGACTGACCGGGCTTCTGCCATCTGTGTTTGGACAGGGACGGGGAGGGGATAGAGGGGGCAGGGCCCAGGGGTCATTCCCACAGAGCCCCATGGACACGTGCCCTCACCCTGGGCAGGCATGGGACCAACACCCTTTGGGTTCAGACTACTGTGGGCCTTTTGGTGGTTGGGGGGCTGAGGGCTGAGTGACCTGAGCAGGAGGGCCACCTGGGAATGGGGTGAAGGCTATGGTACAAAAGAGGTGCTGGTGCCACCCAGGCCCTGTGTGGGGACAAGAGGGCAGAGCCTGTGTCCTCTGCAGGGAGTGAGGTCCTAGCACGCGGGGCAGGCGTGGACCTGGCACCTGCAGCTCCGTTTCTCAGTGACGGCCCCCCACGTCCTGGGACGGATTTCTCTGGGGCGCTGGCCAGGGAGCCTGGTGGGGGTGCGCGTGGAGGGTCCACCCACGCTGACCCCGGTGCTGTCCGTGGTCCCCAGTGTGCGGCTGCGACCTGGCCGAGGGCGGGTTCTTCGTGCGGCAGGGCGAGTACGTCTGCACGCAGGACTACCAGAGCCTCTACGGCACCCGCTGCTTCAGCTGCGACCGCTTCATCGAGGGCGAGGTGGTGTCCGCGCTCGGCAAGACCTACCACCCCGACTGCTTCGTGTGCGCCTCCTGCCGGTGAGTGCCCCGCCCCGCACGCACGGCAACGACCCCGCCTCCTGCGGCCCCGCCCCTCCCATCGCCCCTTCCACCCCGAGGCTCCGCCCCTCCAGAAGCTCCTCCCCCTCTCCTGGCTCCTCCTCCCTCTGGCCCTTTTCCCGCCCTGGCCCCTCACCTCCTCCCTTATCTCGCCTGGTTCCTTCCCCTCCCATGACTGCTCTCCCTCCCCTGGCTGCACCCCTCCCAGCCCCTCCCCCTCCCAGGTCCCACCCCTTTCCCTCCCTTGGCTCCTCCCCCTCCAAGACCCCTCCCCTGGCTTCTCCCTTCCCCAGCCCCAGCCCATGGCTCCACCCACCACCTCCTCCAGCTCTTCCTTCCTCCTCAATAGCCTCCCATTACTTGCCCCAAGTTCCCTCCTCCTACCCCAACTCCTCCCGCCGCCCTAGGCTCTTCGCTTTCCCCGAGCTCCTCCTCGTCTCCTCTCAGCCCCTACCCTTCCCTTCCCTTCCCGGCTTCACCCCTCCCCAAGCCCCTGCCACCACCTCCCCCAACTCCTCGCTCCTCCCCCAGATCCTCCCTCCTCCTCTCTCTGTCTCTTCCCCTCCCCAAGCTCCTTCCCCCTCCTCCCCAAGCACCTCCTCCAGCTCCTCCCTCCTCCCCAAGCTCCCCTCTCCCCCTGCTCCTCCCCCTTGGCTCCTAACCCTCAGCTGCCCCTGTGTGTCCCTCAGCAGGGACTCCTCCTGACCAGGCCTGACCCTGACTGGGTGCTCAGTCCTGGGACAGCTGGCCTTGGGGTGCACATGGACAGGCGACAGGCTCCTCAGCTGTCCAGGCTACAATCAGCTCTCGGCCATCGTCTACCCAGCCGTTCCCTCTCTGGGACCCTGCCTCCCCTGTACCTCCCACTGGTCCACCCTCTCACACATTCACTTGCTCACCAGGGTTGACCATGGCCCTCTGTGTGCCCAGCCCAGGACTGTGCTGAGAATGGGGCAGCTCAGACTCCACATGTCACCCTGTCCCTCCCCAAGGCCTCCCTGCACCCTCAGTTCACCTCTGTCCTGGGCACCTACGGGTTGGGGAGGCCCATGAGGGCACCTGGTACAGAGCACAAGTCACCCTGCCCCCGGTGTGTGGCCAGAGCTGCCTCCCTGTGCCTGCACCTCATGGGGGCAGCCAGCAGGAGGGTCCCCATGGACGTCCTCCCTCCACAGATACTGCCCTCTGAGGAGCACATTCCATCTCGAGAGAAACAAGGGTTTGAGACAAAACACGCCCTTTAGCCTGGTCTGCCCTGGTGTCCCACCACCCCTGGGTCAGGAATCTGCCATGTCTGCAGCAGAGCCATGTCTGCAGCAGAGCCTGTGCACAGGAATCAAGGGGGCCTTTGTGGTGGGAGGGGGCAGGGGACAGCATGGGAAGCAGCAGAGACAGAGGTCTCCGAGGAGGGCCTGGCTCCGTTTGCCAGGCAGGATGCATGGCTCGGTCACAGGTCTTCCCGGGCGCCCATGGACACTTGATTTCCATGGGCGTGCCTTAGGGACGGGCTTGGCAGTCAGGAGGCTGGGGGACTCATGATGACGGTCATCAGCACCACCATTCAGGTGCATTGAAAAAGCAGCAGGGACCCCAACAACCATGCCTTACTAATAGGACTATTGTAGCCCTAAAGTGAAAGCTACCATACCCCTCCTCTAACCGAGGGCCCAGGGGCCCAGTATACCCCTCCTCTACCCAAGGGTACAGGGGCCCAGTGACGCGGTGGGTTAGGTGTTGCGTTGCTAACCACAGGTCGCAGTTCAGAACCCCCAGTTTCTCCGCATGAGAAAGACGGGGCTTCCCACTCCTGTCCAGAATTACAGTCCCCAGGCCCAAGTAGAAAGAAAATGTTTGAAAAGGATGATGGAAGCATAGGTACTAATGTGCTTGACACATGGATGTACAGATTGCTATAAGAGCTGTGAAAGCCCCGGTGTGAGTCTGGGTGGACCAAAGAAAAGAGTCACAGACATTCATGTGTGTCAAAGAAAGAGCTTGATCGACAAGAGCAATTGAATGCTGAGAGACCATCCCAGCCAGTCCAGAGCACGTCCACAAGTCCGATATTAGCCCATGTGTCCGATATCAGTCTATAAAGTCCTCGTCAGATTCGTGAAACACATGCAATGACACCCAGTGCAGGAAGATCACAGGCCAGTGAGTGGGAAGTCTTGTGGATCCAGTGGCATTGTA